TGGAGTCAGACAGATATAGTCTTTATCTAGTGAGGTTTTTAGGTTGGGGAGAAGGAAGCACAGAAATTATATATTTAATGGTGTGATTTCAATTATGGTAAGTGCTTTGAAACCACCATAGGGTGGTTTGAGATCTTGAAGAGTGGAACCTCACCTGATCTGAGATGCCAAACACAGATTCCCTGAGGACAAGACACTTAAATCAAGATTTTACAGTTAAAGAGAGTGAGATTTTAAGCTTGTAACTTAAAAGATAAAATGTTTTAAAGACACTAAAAAGTCTAAACAAGAGAAGTTGAGCCTAAATAGTGGTCTGAAATATATGAATTATTGAAATTTAGAATGTCTTTAAAGGCATGTAGCTTTGTTCTTTTCAAATATATAATGCAGCAAAAATCAGTGCTACCAGGATGTTTCAGAGCTAACACAAAACTTGTTTTAAGGACCAAGGTAGAACTCATTAGAAATATTCTGCAGAGTCCCACCAGTATCTAAAAAACAAAAATTAAAAAGACAGTGTCTTTAAGAATAATCTGACAAAACCTGTGCATAGACTAGATGCTCAGTAAATGTCTACTGTAAGGATGACTAAAAAATTCCTTCTAGTATAGATTTTACTGCTAATTTACTATACTATTTTAATTTAGTTACCAATTCTTTATACCAAAGCAATAGTAAATGAGAGCTCAATCAAAATTAAATTAGCTCAAAATTTCACTTAATATTGACTTAATAAAGTTTCTATTAAGTAAAGAAAAATTTCAAAAGGAATCTGCTTAAAGATGCATTATTAATGTAGAATAAGATGAAGGCCGAATGGAAAATCATTTCTAGAATTATCGACATTTCAAACTTAATAAAAATTTCTTCATTTCAGTTACTAACAAAGAAAGCCAACTTTAGTCTGCCAATTTTAAGTAGTTCAATGTCAATTGTTCAATGTCTGAACCCAGGGATTGAGAAATGATACATCTTCCAGGCCCATTTGTACAATGGAACTGAAATAATGTCAATAGGAAAAAATGTGTCTAAATTGTAGATACACACACACATACACACACACACACACAACATCCATTCAGTCTGCTCTTTTAGTCACAAGATGACTGAAAAGTTTAAAAAAATTTTTATTGAAGCATAGTTGATTTACAATGTCGTGTTAGTTTCAGGCATATAGCAAAGTGATTCAATTATATATACATTATATATTCTCTTTCATATTCATTTCCATTATGGTTTATTACAAGGTACTGAATATAGTTCCCTGTACAGTAGGACTTGTTTATTTGTTTTATATATAGTAGTTTGCATCTGCTAATCCCAAACTCCCAATTTATCCCCCTTTCCTCTTTCCCTTTTGGTAACCATAAGTTTATTTAAAACAAACCGACTTTTATTTACAACTGACATACTCACTGGTTTTCACTTTTGTATCTGATCTCTAGCTTTGTTTTTTAATCTCCAAACAGTCTTTGATACCAAAATATATTGTTTCGGCCACCAGGTCACTCAGACAGTATCTGAGCTAGATTGAGTTTTGGTGCACTTCTTTTTCATGAACATACAAAGCAAATCCACATTCAGGTTCTCTCAGGGATCATGCGCTTCACCTCAAATATACACATACCCCAGATACACCCAAAGCAGATACATGGAGCAACCTGCAAATTCCAAACAGGTTTTTTGCCTATATTTACACTAAATATGAGCCAGAAACTCTCAGACCACCCCCCCACTTGATGCTTCTGTAAATGCTTTGCTATTATTACCAAATTGTTGGCCTCTCAGTCTTGTCTCTTTGTGACCCCACAGACTGTAGGCTGCCAAACCCCTCTGTTTATGGAATTTTCCAGACAGAAATGCAGTGGGTTGCCATTTCCTTTTCCAGGGGATCTTCCCTACCAGCCATTGAACCTGGGTCTCTTGCATTGCAGGCAGATTCTTTACCACCTGAACCACCCGGGAAGCCCAAGGAGTTACTTAAACGTTCATTTCTGCTATGGAAGTGGCAGAGACACGCCATGGAACAAGCGCTATACAGAGTGCATTCCAGTTCTGAGAACCCAAGGACCCACTCTTAGTTATTCAGCAATCATGAATAAATAAGGAAGCAAGGGCCTTTTGCTCAGTAAGTGCGCAAGGATACATCTGCTCAAAATGTAGGCAACGTGAAATAGCTATGTTATAAACAGTGGCATTTCTAAACCTCAGACACAAAAATAAAAAAAAATTAGGAGATATCTCTGGGGAAGGTTTCCATTCAATGCTTTCCTTTCCTTGCTCTGTGCCACAAAACTGTAGCCTCCGGAAGCCTGGGCCATGCACCCATTTACTTCCAGACTTTACAAAGCTTCTGCAAAGGGGAGTTTCCCAGTGTTCTCTGGCTGGCTGGCTCTCTGAGCTTACTTCTGCCTTCCCTGGCTAAGATGCTGTTCCCTAGGCAGTGAGCACACTGCCCAGTTAGATACAAGTTGTTTTTAATTGATAAACTCAGGACTGTATTTTCATAAAGATCATTATCTCGCTATCAGGTTGTGTTTTTTGTTTTTTTGTTTTAATTCCCTCATTCTCACAGGCATAATTACCCAGGAATGCTCCTATGCAATCAGCTAGCCCGATCGAAAAGCTATATCCTGTTTCAAGATGCTGTCAGGAGAGAGAGGTAGACTGGAGAAGTTTTGAGGTAGGATGCAAAAAGAAGACACAGGCAGAAAATATGTAACCTGCAAATTCACATATTTCACACCCAAGCAGGATTTTTCCATTTCGTTTTCTATTAAAAGCTGAGTAATTGCAATATGAAAGCGTGAACACAGATTGAAAAGTAACAACTAACAGCATATCATTCTGTAAGGAGCTGAAAATGAAAAGTAAATTAACTGAGTGTTGGCAAGTATCAATATCCCGGTAATATAAAACCCATCAGAAGTCATGTGTGTAATACTGCCTCAAACAACTCACTGGAAATGGAAATAAAATGCATTAACTTAACGTTTGAAGATTTTTAAGGTCAGGGAATTGGTATTTGTTCACAGCAAAAAGGCAGTGATGACTCAGCTCCTTCAGATATATGTGAAATTTGTTACGCTTATCATCCATGTATCATTATCTTAGGCTCCTGCAGGCATCCCAGCTTTTAATTTCCTGAACACACCTAAAACCTCAACCACAAAGTTAGATGTCATGGTATTTCATTTTAAGGTGAAAAAGATAAATGTTCCAAAGTGAAAGGCACTCTTTGTTTACTGGATCACATATCTAAGGAAATTTAGGTAGATATGAGAGATGTTGGTTCAGAGTCTTATCGAGATAAAGGAAATTGGACAGGGCTATGGCAACTGCAAACCAGTAATATTAAGGGTGACCAAACAAATACTTGTATTTACTCACAGGTATATATGGAACTTGACTCATATATCAATCAGCAAGAAAAATAAAGTATCTTTAAAATGGAAAATTGAGAAGTGAGAAAATGTAAATGAGAAATCAGTAATCATTTTTGACTAATGTGACTTACATGCCAAGAAAAGTTTATGATAATACATGAAATATGGGGGTGATTTTAATCCCATGGTATTCAAGAGGATGATCAACATTAAGTAGTTAAATTGTAATTAACAATATTGTAATTGTTAAATACATGTTTAAAATATAGTCCTGCCTGGTTAATCTGTTTAGAGACTGAACAGTAAAACAATAATTACCCCTTCATATATGCAAGAAATTCCTAAACATTTGCTTCTAAGCTGGTTTGAAAACAGTGGGGAAAAAACAGATAAAATTCCCCAAGGAGACACAATACCCTGTTACTAACCAATTATTGTATGAAAATGTCTCTAGAAATTAATTTTAAAAATCAGTATAATTGCTCTCATGTTTCTTTGATCAAATGGATGACAGCTAGTGGCTGGAGCTGGTCGCTTTCCCCCTCTCTTAGTCTCCTCTGGCAGCATCCACCACACTCTGCGTCCAAGGCAGCACACGAAGAGGTGAGAGGTTATATGAGAAATGACGGGTCTCCATGGGGAAAATTTTCATCGAGTAAATCCCAGTGCGTACTTACATTGATCACCAAGAAAAATTTCTAAGCATCACAGAAAATTCACATCTATCAAAAATACCAAGTGGGCTCCCAATCAAGAGATACAGATGCTACAATAGACTACTCAGGGGAAAACTGAGGTCACAAGTGGGATGCTGTGGTTGGACTTTTGTTGATGGCGGGTGGCTGAGAACAGAGGATGAAGATGTAGGAAGCTGCCCAGCTGCTCCATAATCCAACAATGTGTTAGGGTTCCTGTGACACCCCCCATCTCCCCACGTCCCTGTCTTTGTTGGGAAGGGGGACCAACAGTGAACCAAATGATAAGAAAGGGGAGGGAGGGCTGGGTACTTCCTACCCACATCTGCTCCAAAGTCCACAGACACGCATTAAGAGCCAGGCTGGGATGAGACACAGACAGGTTTGGATCTGGCTTCCGAGGCAGCGCTAGTGGGAAGCATCTGCCTGTCAATGCAGGAGCCGTGGAGACGCATGTTTGATCCCCGAGTCTGGAGGAAGAAACAGCAGCCCTGTCTGGTGTTCCTGCCTGGAGCATCCCATGGGCAGGAGAGCCTGGCAGGCTATGGTCCATGAGGTCGCAGAGTCTGATACGACTGAGTGAGCAGCAATAGCAGCAGGTTTGAGTCATGAGCAAATCAGCTGACCATCTTGAGTCTCAGTTTCCCCAACTTGCAAATGTGACTGAATAATGGAGACTTCAGAAACGTGGTGATGATTAAATGAAACCATGCGCATGAAGCTGTTAGAGTGACGGGCACAGTGCTTTACTCAACACATGGAAAGTGCTTTCATTGTTGCTGGTATCATCTTCAGCGCATGGAGATGCGTGTCCCCTGGTGAGCCGGGAAGAGCAGGTGGGGGGTGGAAGCAGCCCACCCCTTCTGCAGGCTGGCGGGCCGGGCAGTGCTCAGGGTCTCGGGCGTGCCGGGCCCCTCACCTAGAGGAGTGGCCATTCTCGGGAGGACATGCAGACTGCCCTCTTGTTCTGGGAGGAGGATGGATGATGTCGGCTGGACAAGGTTGGAAGGGAGGACATGGCTTCATCCCGAATGGGAACAGAATCTTCTGCTTAGTAATTTAAAAAAAAAAAAAAACCTCATTAAGAAATTCTTGGGACAAAATTATGAGGCTTGAACACTGCAGTCACAGAAACCTCATAACTTGCTGGACTGAGAAAACACTGAGGCTTTCTTGACTTTAAAGAAGTAGAAAACTGGAGGGGGCTGAGGCCTGGGACTCAGTCACCAGTTGCTGACGGCCTAATGAGGGAAAAAGCAGACACTTAGCCACACAGCTAGCTCATTCAGCTTGTAAACGAGGAGAGAACATGAGTTTTTGGTGAAAAGATGACATTCTGTGTTCACTGAATTTACTGTCTGCCCCACTCTAGCATGCTGGCTGGTCATCTGTTCTGAAAGCTGGTGCTTTTCGGCAATGGGGTGAATGGACCCAGGCAAGAAGCACTGCAGAGATCACCAGACTATAGGCCAGGACTGTGGACTGTCTTGGTGGAAGTCCAGGTCTGGCCTTCATTCGAGTTCATGTGGGTAATAATGACACTTCCCGAGTTTCAGTTTTCTCATTTGTAAAAAGGGGGTAATAGTAGCTATTTCAGTGCATTACTCTGAAGTTTAATTTTTTGCAAGGTTTAATTTTTGTGATTTGTATAAAGTACACGAAGTAGTGACCTGTGAGTCTTTTCAACTATTATGATGCCATTTGTACATTCAGAGGGGATTTCTCTGAATTTCCAGGGAGCAATTTCCTGAGAAAGCGCTCTCCATTTACTTTCTCGCACAGCGCCCTCTTCCTTCTCAGTATTTACTAATGTGTGTTTATTGAAGCATCTTGTTCCACAGCTGATACCTGTCTGGGGGCGGAGATCAAGCTTGTTTGGTCACTACTCCGCAGGGACGCGCCCACGGCTGGGTAAGAGTCAGCGCTTGGCAAATACCACACTATGAGGGCCCATCGAGCCCAGTCACTGCCCAGCCCACCCTGGAGGTCAGAGAAGCATGGCCCCCAGGTGCGCCGGGACACCCTTCCTTGACACACATGCTGTCAAAGATTAAACCCAGAAAGCTGGCCCGCTTCTGTCACCTAAACAAGAGCCGATTTCTTTGTCAAGCCCCTCTTGTCTGTCAGACTAGGTGGGTGTGAGACTTCAGAAGAAGACATGACGTAGGCTTCTGCCTCTCGGGAATTCTGCAGAAGGCAGTTGGAAGGGGACTGATTCACAATCCTGGAGGCACTGGGGTGATGCGTTTCATAGGACACGGCCGGTCCTGTCAGAGCTCCAGGCCCTGAGTGCAGACTGTGGGCCAGGCGCCGTGTCTGAGGCTGTGCACGTTGACTTCATTGCCTTCTTTATCAGAGAAGGCAATGGCACCCCACTCCAGTACTCTTGCCTGGAAAATCCCATGGACGGAGGAGCCTGGTAGGCTGCGGTTCATGGGGTCGCTGAGAGTTGGACATGACTGAGCAACTTCACCTTCACTTTTCACTTTCACACATTGGAGAAGGAAATGGCAACCCACTCCAGTGCTCTTGCCTAGAGAATCCAGGGACGGGGGAGCTTGGTGGGCTGTCATCTATGGGGTCACACAGAGTCGGACAAGAGTGAAGTGACTTAGCCCAGCAGCAGCAGCAGCAGCCTTCTTTATAAACAGCCTGCAGGAGGCATTATATTTACAGATGAAGAATTACAAGCTCAAAGTGTGGAAACACTTTGCTGATATGCACTCAGCTGGTGCATATCTGAGCCCACATTTGAGCCCAGGCCTGGCTGACGCAGAACCCTCCGCCCCAAGCATTCCTGCAAGTCCTGCCTCCCTGCCTTTTCTGAGGACTGGGGGTGCTATGCAGTGAAGGAAGCCGGGGCCAGAGACCTGCCCCCGGAGACCAGCCCTGCTGCTGGAAACAGAGTGATGATGTAGGGTGAGCAAATATTACTAAGGAGCAGTGAATGCCAAAATCCCTAAGCTTAAACAGGGGAAGGAAATCCTCTTGGAGCAGTGATTGGTCATGAGGTACATCACAGTCTGGTCTGGGGGTAAGACTGGGGTTGGAGGACACCTACGGAGGATTATAAACTAAACACCTCTGAAAGAAGTCAATTCTTGTGTCATTTATTTCTTTGTGATTCCCAGCCTGGTGCTGGAGATGTAGAAGATATTAAAGTATAATTGAATATAATTAAGTTTACAAGGTTATTCTGCACTCCTCAAGTGCAAATTCATAATAAAAAGGAAGAAAGTAATCCTTACCAGCAAACTGGTCTGTCTATATTAACATTTGCTTTTATATAATGTAGTTTTAAAAATATTTTCCTATTTGTTTAGCAATGTTACCCTTTGAGGTACACTCTCAGGGATCTCTCCCTCTGGGTGGGAATACTGAAAACTCATCAGCTTGATGGACACATTTACAGAACAAGACACAGATAAATACCGAGGCGGACTCTCAAGGAAATACATACATGGCATCCATCTCACTGTAAATGAAAACTCCTCTCCTCTACATAGGGAAAGTAGCATTTTATATATAAGTAGCTGCGAAGATACTTTATTTTTAAAGATTTTTTTTTGGTGTGCACCATTTTTAAAGTCTTTATTGAATTTGTTACAATATGACTTCTGTTGTTCATATTTTGGTATTCTGGCCTTGAGTCATGGGGGGTATTAGCTTCCTGACCAGCGTTCTGCCTCACATCCCTGGACTGGGAAGTGAAGTCTTAACCTCTGAACCACCAGGGAAGTCCCAGGGAGGGTATTTCAGACTGAGCATTAAGGGCAAGATTAAATATGTATTTTTTGTTTGTTATCACGATGCAGAATATAAGAATGTAGTACATGTGAAAACAGAGATCTTGGAATGGGCCAAAGTCAGGAAGAAAAATATATCATAAAAGCATACATTATGCTTCCTTTTGGTAGGAGATGCTAGTTATTTAAGTGCAAGTTGGTGAACTGTTTAATTTCACAAACATATCATAGACACCTATTACCTACAAAACTTGGTGGTAGGTGCTGTGAAAATCCAAAGATAAGGCGAGATCTTGAGGGCACAGAAATTATTGGGACAGAAGAAGACCCTAGTAAGGACTTTAAGTGGAAAAAAATGTTTTTTTAAAATGCAGTCTAAATATCTAAGGATTTAAATGGAATTTATCCCTTCATGAGCAATGTAAAACTTCTGAAATTACAACTTCTTGTTGAAACTGAAGCACAGGTTTATTTCATGGGGACTCTGACAGAAAGCAAAAAATTTTAACTGAAATGGCCAAGCGATTAACCTTTTGAATTTAGGTGAACAAACATATTCTCCTATCGTGGGGACATTGATGATTTGCAAACTTGGCCAAACTTATTCATGTACATTATAGTCCTTCGGAAGGAAAGCAAAAGTCACTGTGGAACTGCGTGGTCCTGGAAACGCTTCTCCCGAGATGACATGTGACAAGTACAGGTACTATGGGTTGGATCGGGCAACGGCAGAGAGTCGGGGAGAGCCTGTAGTTGTCACTGATGACTTGGAAGCTTACCAAAGTTCAAGAGCTACTGAGAAAACATAAGCCATAACAACAAGACTTCTGTACATTAATTCTGATTAGTAAGGTCTGAGTTAACTGATTTATCACCTGGTCTCACAGTATTCACACTGAAAGTAATGAAGTCTTTGCAATATGAACCTTCCTTACAGCACAGGGCTAGTAAATCTTGGTTGAAAAGCATGTCGAAGCTGCCAGGATGATTATTTTTATTTTTTGGCTGACACCTGGCAGAGCCAACAATTCAATGAAATGAAAATTTCCACCAACCCTGGATCTACTGAATCTTTTGTTCAAGAGCTCACAAACCTTGTACTCTGTTCTTCTGTTTAATAAGACACGTATTAGATATCTACTATCCTCTGTCAAGGAAGAAGCTGCTTTGGGGTTGGAGGAGATTCCAGAAGCTGTTTAATAAAGAAGAAATCAAGCAGATGAGGGTCGGGCTGCATAGCAAGCCAGGAGTACCAAGTGGCAGTTGGTCTGGGCCTCTTAGATGTACCCCGGGCTTCATCCGCACCTGAATCCCTGAGTGTCTGAGCTGGAACATAAAGCCTGGGGGAGGCAGGGTGGTGAGAGGCAGGGACTCAGGAGGCAAGCGGCCGGAGTTCAAGTCCTGACTCCTGACTCCTGACTCAAGTCTCTCGTTATCGGCCACGCTGAACAATCGAACTGACCCGTGTGCTGTGCAAAACCGCAATAGAAAGGCGTGGGGGTCTTGCATGAGGGAACGCCCATCAGCCAGGAGGCCTGGCCCTTGCACAGGGTGCGCACTCAGCAAGGGTCAGCTCTGCTTATTCCCACAGGAGAGAAGCAGAACCAAGTGTAGGCCAAACACCTGGCTGGAACCGGCCCAGGCTCTTCTTCCAAAGCCCCTCAGCTTCGCAGAGCGCACGCACCAGCGGAGTTGCAGGACGAGTTATTTGGGGCTGAGAAACTGGGCGCAGTGCAATTTCTTCTACGTGAACTCTCAGAGGCAATCCAGTCTTGGCAGCAACGGTGTGAATCCCAATTCTAAGCTGTTTTGCAGAAGGATAAACACAGAAGTGTAGCCTGCTCCGCTGCAGAAGTTTATACCATATGTAACAGACGCCANAGCCTGCTCCGCTGCAGAAGTTTATACCATATGTAACAGACGCCACTCGAAGATTCCACACACTGGCGCCCCTCCCTCCAGCCTTACATCCTTCACCAGCATTCTGCTCAGACCGTCTCCCCGCACCTCTCCGTCTCTCTCCCCCACTCCCTCTCTCACACACACACGCCCCGGGCACTCCACACTCCTTCCTTCGCAGACGCAGCCTGGGACGCTTTGTCTGTGTGGCACCCATCTCCCCTCCTGCTTCACCTCCACCTTCCTCCCCTCACAGCATCCAGGCAGCTGCAGACACAGTGGTCCCCCTCACTCACCGCTGACAACCTGCTCCCGGTCTCCTGCTGCCCTTGGACTGAGACCCAGACCCCTCTGTGCCCTGCCCGCCTCCTCCTCCAACGCCCCCCACCTGCTCTGCTCCCA